CCAGATTTCTGCTGATTGTTTTGATTCAGCACTAAAGAGCAGGTTTCCCCCAGGGCAAACAGAAAACCTCTCAGACCCCTGCTTTCTAGGCACGAGACACGTGGAAATGTGGATGAGCCCTATCTAGCAGCAGCTATCCAGCATTTCAGACAAGCGTCTCTCCTAACTCTCCCTGGAGATGCCAGGAATTGAACCTGGGCTCTTCTGCATCCACCACCAAGCTGCATCCCCTCCCCAAAGGCTCTTGTGCTCCTTACTTATGCTTTACATTTAATCTTTTCACCTTGGCACCTTATGCTCAACTTTCTCAACCAATCAACGCTATTGACAGATCTTGCTATATCCACCCTTTAATACTGCAAAAATCTGTTTTGTTCAACTTACACTGCTAGAATACTAGGTAGGGCTTTAATTGTGTCTCAGCTGGATTAGTAATGTTGTGTTTTCCAGTCCTTTACTCTCCCACCTTAAGCCTTTAACTTCTGTTCAGAATTCTGCTGCCTCGCCGTTATCTTCCGAATCCCATTTAAATTGTTTACTTTTCTTTTAAAACCTGGAATGCTCTGTCCCTTGCGTATTTGCCATCTGTAGTCTTTCTTTAGAGTGCAGCTTGCGTTCTTCTTCATCATCTCCTTGTTAGGCTTTGAATCGCCTATATCCTTTAGTTTCTGCATATGCTTAGAAAGCTCTGACAACCAATGTGCTGTTTTCCACATCTCATCAGCCAAAACTGGCTGGATCACACCAAAGGAAGTTTCATCTAGCTTCCTGGTCTGCCATTCACCAACCAGGTGCCTAAGGGAAGACCGTGGCAGGCAGGACATGAGCCTGACAGCATTCTCCCTACTTGTGCTCCCCAGCAAACTAGTAACTTTTTGAAAGTTCTCTTCTTGTTTTAAATCCAGCTTCAAATGTGTTAAAGAAAGTCCACCTAGAATCCCTAGATCTGATCAACAAATTTCAAAGAGGACATAGCAATAATGGGACACCTCAATTTCTCTGATATATGTTGGAAGACAAACTCTGCTAACAATGAAAAGTATTATATCTATAGATATACAAATAAATTGATATATAGATATAGATAGATATAGATAGATAAAATTGTCCAGAACACCTTAGAGACCAACTAAGTTTGTTCTTGGTATGAGCTTTCGTGTGCATGCACACTTCTTCTCTAAGGTGCTACTGGACAATTTTTTTATTTTTTTTATATATATATATTGACTGCATCAGACCAACACGGCTACCTAACTGAATCAATGAAAAGTATTGTTATGGATTTGGGGGGACCCCCCTAAACCCCAGAAATTAATAATGGTAGGATTTTTATTATTTGGATTTTTTATTTTTTATTTTTTATTGGGTTTTATAAACAAGAATGATGTTAAAGAAATAAGTATACCAAGTTTTCTCATGTCATTTGTATATCACAAAAATGGCACAATAAATGATGTGGGAAAGTATCTACAACATATGTTTCATTGTTAGTTTTGAAGGGAAGATTGGAGGTCAGTGGAAAAATACAGGCTAAGCTTCCTTTCTGAGCCAGGGCCTCATGTGGGATAGACCCCTTAACATTTCAAAAGGTGTTGATGGCCCATCTAAGAGGAATCTTGGGCTTGGGCAGACAGAAGGTTGCCAAGGTAACTGGGTATGAAGTGACAGGAAAAGAGAATCTTTAGCTGCTGTGCTGGGAAGAAGGGAGAGGAGAGATGCCTTGGACTCTTCAAATGACCACACTGTAAAATCTGGACTCCCTCCATGCAGACTGAAGGTGTAAATAGGCGAATAAACCATGTTTCCTAAAGCTACGTCAGTCTCTACTCTGTCTCAATTCTCCATAGGAACACAGACCTTTGGTGAGTGCCTGGAACCTCCTGGAATCTTGCTACCACTTGGCAGAGAGTAGGGGTGGCACCCAACTTCTGCAACAGTGTAATGGCATTCTTGCCCTGCCTTGCTGACAATTTCGTATTCCAGAAGATGGGACTCAGCTATCCTCGACACGATCTTCAAGAACAAGAACCAATTGGCTGATGAGGCAGAAGTAGCTGGGACCATAAGAACGGATGAATCCTGCTGGATCAGACCAAAGAATCACCAAAATCCCTTTGGAATTTTTTTTTGGGGGGGGCGTTACAGGTCACTGACTGTTGCCCACCCATAAGTAATCCAGTGATGGTGGCTCCCAGTGCCAGTGGCCCCTGCAAGAAGGGTCCCCCCAAAAAAACCTGGAGCCAGTCAGTTCTGCAGCTTGGTTGTGTACTGTAACTTTATTGCCAGCAATTCTGCAAAAGTCAGGGAAGCCCTGACTAAGTCTCACATCCCAGGGCATGTTTGCAGTTTCTGGCAATTGAAGAAATAATCTTTTGACTTGTAGATGGAGCACATTTGACAGGGCGAATAAATATGGACACTCACAATGTCATTTTTACTCATTTCTTCATTGCTTATACCTTCCCTAGCTGCCCTAGCTAGAGCCACAGATGAAAAGAATCCTTGCATTTTGAACAACAGCTGAGGATTTGAAGATATAAAGCATTGGAGGATGTTCTGAAAGCCATTCATTCTTAAGACCACTCCAGCCCATCAGGCCATTTTCAAGCAGGAGGATATATGAAATGTGTTTGCAAGCTTTTGGTAGGAGTCCAATATATCGTGCAATCAATACAGTTGATGTTTTTTTAAGGCATCTTGTAAAACATGATTTATCAATGCAGTAAAAGATCGGGAGAAGTTACATCCAGTGAATCCTAGAATCACTTAAGGTCCCAAGATTTATAAGGTTTGACGACAGTCCTCAGAATCCTTTCTTTTTCAGACTGCCAAAATAAAACACTTCTTTTTAAACGGGCGGGCTCCAGCCCATGAAATGGGCACAATCCAGCTCATAAGCACCATAAAGCTTCCATTTATTTCACTGCCAAAGTCAGGCATCTGCTGAGCTCCCATCTATTGAAATAAATGGAGCCTAGGTCCTTTACCTTTACCTTTAAAGTGCTTAAGTCTGGCTGAATTGTATGCAGTGTTTGGTTATAGGTATTTTACTTGTTGTTGTTTGTATTTTTTTGCTGTTGACTGCCTTGAGCATAATTTGGTGGAAAGGCAGGATACAAAATTAACAAATGAATGAAGTTGTATTTCCTGTGCCACCAAACCAGCATTTCTGGAAGATTTGTTCTAGTCAAAGCATCTCCGTGCTTGCCACACACCCACACATGTGACTCCTTTCTAACTGCAATCTCAATGGCACAGTCCAAGACAAATTGCCACAACTGACTTTCCTAGTAGTGAATTTCAGCTCATTGCCTGTCCTCTCAAGGTGACATATGGACTAATTGCTAAGAAGGCATGCTTTGGAACGGAAGAACTTGCCTCAGTAAAGGAGCTGGGCGAGAGGACTTTCCACTCATTCCATAGCCCTACAATTTTACGACCGGCTTGAATGAGTAATTGTCATTCAAGCCAACTGATAACTTACCTGTTCCTTGATTACTGATAAAGGAGAGGTACGGGAATTAAACACTGAAGCAGGAAAACCCCTTCGTTCACCCAGGACGAAACATCAGTTACGGATTATTGGATAAGATCTTCATTATAACATTTCCACCATGCATTATCTCTTCTTCCTCTCAAGTAGAATTCTATCTGGGGACTTATTTAACTGATGTGCCGAAATCTAAATTTAATTTATTATGATCTAACTCACTTTAGGTTCCAAATTAGCATGCACCCGAGAAGGATCAAGTCAATACTCTACTTGCCTTTCTATTTGTCTTCCACACAGCTCCTCTCTGTGTGCCTCATATTCATTTTCTCTCGTGTACTGGTAATAAATTTGATATCCCCCCCCCCTCTCTCAGAAATTAGGCCATTTTTCTTTCAATGCTGCATCTTAATGACTAGTATTAATTATATAAAACAGTGAGTTAATAAAGAATTTGAGAGAATGAGAGCCCTTCCAGCAGAGGGAGGGGGACAAATCCTTCCCCATCTCATGGGGGAAATAGCTAATCAGTCTCACCAGCTATTAAAAGATCCTTGCCATAGCCCTCCCCTCCTCAGTCTCAAAGTGCAGACTTTAGGTATCATTAACAGGCACTGGGTGGTATTCAACTAACGTGTCCTGTCAGCAAAGATTTTCGGCTTGCACCTGTCTTTTCTCCCCATGCATGCTTTGTGCCCTCCTCAAAACTGATCCAAAGGGCTAGGGAACCCCTAGAACAGAGTTAGTGGGTATTGGGGGGAAGGGAGAAGAATGTTCCATTGAGCAGGTGGGAATCCTTGTGCTGATGGAACGGCCATGTTGGATGCAGCCCAAGTTAAGCCAGTGGTTTGGGCCTTTTGTGTCCTGAAGCTGAAGCTGCAGAGGAACTTGGTATGTTAAGTCAGCGATGGGGAACCTGTGGTCCTCCAGTTGTCACCCTACGACAAGTCCTATCATCCCCAACTACTGGCCATGCTAGCTGGGGCTGATGAGAGTCGGAACCCCACAGCCTCTGGAGGTCTACCAGTTCCCCAGCCCTCTGCTAACCACCCAAATAATTACAGTCCAGAGCTGCTCCCATTTTCTTCCAAGAGAATGGGAGAGCCCCTGATGGTACGCACCTCCATGTTAACAACCAAGCCCAGCAAAGCTTTGATCTGACTTTGAGGCTTCCACAGCTGAGGCACACATACAGTAAGGACACGGTGGTCTGAGCAAAACGCCTTTCAAAAACAAGTGTTATCTGTATAAAATAAGAGCAATTCATATATCTTCATTCAATGTATTCGTTCAATGACCAAAATGTTAAGCCACTCTGAAAAGATTTGAGACATCCCACATGTAAGAAGATGTAACAGCTTACAAACTGATCCCTGGAGAATCCTACGGGAAATAGTAGAGGCGTTTTTTGAACACTAAAAATAGAAATGTTCCAAGATAACACTAACATGTAAGGGAATGTTCAGAGAGATAATGCAGCAGTATCCTCATCTCCCCATAGAAGGAAAGGGCTGTAGCTCAGTGACAGAGCATCTGTCTTACATGCAGAACATCCTGGGTTCAAAGCCCGGCATCTACAGGTGGTGCTGAGTCAGACAGCTGCTTGAAATCCTAGAAATCTGCTGCCAGTCAAAAAAGGCAATACTGAGATAGGTGGCCCAATGGTCTGACTTCCAGCTTTGTCTGGGGACATTTTACCACGCTGGGGTCCCCAATTCGCTTGAGGTAGAAAAATACCTCATAAAACTGTATGTGTCAGTTCCACGCTCCTCCGAGTCAATGTTATATTGCACTGAAAGCCACAAGCAGAAGAAAACTACCCATAAAGCAGGCTGTGTCCAATTTTTGTGTGGAAAATGGCTAACATTGGATAACTACTAACCTGTGGCACAACCAAGTTGGAAAAGACCCACATCCACCAAGAGACAAGGACCATCCCAATGGAATTAATACTTTCCATCACTTTATGCAGAAAGACATGATCAGGTTTCCATAATATACCTATAGCTTCTGTTTAAAAAAAGGAGTGGGGGGACTTGCCTTGCAAATATTCTGCTTTTGTGTAGTACCTGCTTATAAATAAGGAGTGTTTTCCACACAGTTTCATATCAGGAAAACTATCAAGAATCATGGAAGTATGGCAGTGGACCAGAGCAGTGTTATCTCTTTTTTTTTTTAATGATATTTATTAAGAATTTTAAGATTACAGAAAAGTCAAAGAGGAAAAAAAAAGAAAAAAGCAAGGAAAAAACAAATCACAAGTCGATAAAAATCAAAAGCAAAAAGCAAAAAACAAAACGCATAACACATCAAAATCAAAAAACAAAAATAAACCACAAAAGTTTAAAGACAAATCCAATATTCCCAAATCCTTAACTGTCATTATCTTATTTCATTGACCTCCTCACCCCTCCCTTTTTTGTATTCTAGTTATTGATTATCACAGCAAATCCTTCCCATTTTTCATAATATTCTGTCATTAAATTACCTTAATCTATTTTAACCTTATCTTACTATAAAAAACCCTAAAACTTAAAACTTGAGTCTTATCTGTACCAATTTGTCATAACCATGACATATTCTTGCATAGTTCTTTTTAACATTTCTACTAAAGCCAAATAATTTCGTTCCAACATTTTTTTAATACTCATTAATTTTAGAAAGCATTCCTAAATAGAATTTTTGAAACTTTCTCCAATCTTCATCCAACGTCTCTTCCTCCTGGTCACGGGTTTTGTCAGTCCTTTCTATCCCATCCATCTAGTTCATTAACCTGGTAACCTTATGTCCGAGGCCCTTAAGTCTCTTCCATGTCCCTTCCGCAGATCTTCTTCATATTTATACCTGTACTTTACTTTGTCTTCTGCTCCTTTCACTCGTGGAGACTCCAGCTTGACAGTATTTTTGTCCCTTCTTGACAGATCAGCCCCTTTTCCATAGTCCACATTGAACTCCATGTGGTATTTAAAAACATGTTTCAAGGTCCCTCCAAAATTGAGGACCCCCTCAACTCCAAACTCCTCCCGGCCCAACGCCAGACTTGAAAAGTCAAAACATCCCTGCATAGAGGGGTGTATCCAGCCCCCCATCTCCAAACCAAACAAGACTCTATCTCTCCAAATCTGGCTTTTTCCAGGTTCATTTGTCAGGTCCAACCACTCATGTTCCTGCTGGGCCATGGTTCCCTCCATCTCTGCCTCTCGGGGTCCAGCCACAACCTCCTCCTTCATCTGATCTGTCAGAGCACATTCCTGAATTGATTCCTGAGTGGGTTCTATATAGATACCCACTACCTGTCCAAAATTTCTGATCACAACAGTCATCAAATCCGTCTTCTCATGTAACTGTTCCAATAAAGCACTTGTTTTGCAGAAAGCACGCACCAGAGCCTCTGAGTACATTGTTATACAAGGTCAGAAGTCTATTCCCACGATCTTAATCTGTTGCAGCTGCGACGCTCCCCAGTTCAAGTTTAGTAACAGTTTCACAAGCTCCCTCTAGGGGAAGAACTTCTATTTGTATCCAACTCTTTTCTTTTCTTTTCTTTTTAACAGCAGATCTAACAACAAAGTTTCCTTTTTCAGATATTTTGTCAATATTTGTTCCTTTAAAGTGCAAAAGAGGACAATGGAATCACTGTGTTTCTCTTTTTTTTTTTAAAGATATTTATTGAGATTTTCAAAATGTTACAAAAAAGAGAAAAAATAAAATAGAAGCAGAAGAGAGTACAAAGGATAAAAATAATTGACAAAATAGAAAAAAAACCAACCCCTTCCCACCATATACAAAAAAATTCCAAATGAGAAAAAATGACAGAAAAAAAAAAAAGAAGAATGCAAAAATCACAAAACTTTAAAAACATTTAAAAACAAATTCATTCTTTTCAAATCCTTAACTGTCATTACCTTCTTTCTTAGACCTCCTCCTCCTCCCTTTCTTTGTATCCTAGTTATTAATTATCCCAGCAAATCCTTGACCTTATCTTTCTATAATAAAATAAACCTTAAAACTTAAAACTTAAATCTTATCCTTACCAACTTCTCATAATCATAATATTCTTTCATAATTCTTTAAACATCTTTGCTAAAGCCAAGTAATTTCATTCCAACATTTTTCTATCATTCATCAATTTTATAAAACAGTTCTAATGGTAGAAAAAAGAGGTATAAACAGATCCAATCTTCATCCAGCGTCCCTTCCTCCTGGTTCCGGGTTTTGTCAGTCCTTATTCCTGTCAATCTAGCCCATTAACCTGGCAACCTTATGTACGAGGCCCTCAAGTCTCTTACATGACCCTTCCGCGGCTCTTCTTCATACTTGTAACTGTATTTTCCCTTGTCTCCTGCTCGTGGTAACTCCAGCTTGACAATGTTTTTAACCCTTCTCAACAGATCAGCCCCTTTTCCATGTTCAACAATGAATTCCATCTAGTATTTAAAAGCATGTTTCAAAGGCCCTCCAAAATTGAGAGCCCCCACAGTCCCAAACATCTCACGGCCCGTTGCCGTATTTGAAAAGTCCAAACATCCCAGCATAGGGACTAGAAATTTTCAATCCAGCCCCCCATTTCCAAACCAAGCCGAACTTTTCCTTTCCAGATATGGCTTTTTCCAAGTTCATTTGTCAAATCCAAAAAATCATATTCCTGTTGGGCCTGTTCTGTCAAAACACACTCCTGATTTAATGTCAAAAACTCCTGTTCTGTCAAGACACACTCCTGATTTAAATCCTGAGTGGGCTCCACATATTTTCCCACTGTCTGTTCAAAGTTTCCCACTGCCTGTTCAAAATTTCTAGTCGAAGTCGCCATCCAATTCACCTTCTCGTGTAATTGTTCCAGTAGATCGTTTGTTTTATAGAGAGCATACAACAAGGCTTCTGAATACATTGTCCTACAAGGTCAGATACTTGTTCCCACGGTTGTAATCTGTAACAGCTGTCGACTCCCTGGAGTTAGTTACAGTTTCACAGTTACAATTTCACAGACTCCCCCTAGGGGGAGACTTCTATTTATTCTTGCAACAAAGTTTCCTTTTTTAAGATACTTTGTCCATATATAATCCTTTAAAATGCGAAAGGGAACAGTGGAATCACTAGGTTTCTCTTCTTTTAGCCATCTGTCAAAAACACTTGTCTTTGGTTAATGAACTTCACGTGTCAGTCCTGACAGCCCGCTCCAGGATCAGGACGGAGGAAAGTTACTTCACTTTAAAGTCACTTTAAACAGTCCGAAAAGATCCCCCCCTTCTCCTACTGTCGAAGGGGGGTTCCACAATTTTAAATGGTGAAATCCAATCTTTTAAAAGCGATTTCCTGAGCTCTAGTTTAAATTGCCTTTGCTTTATTCTGTTTACAAAAGAACGGAAGGATGACTTCCTGTTTAGACCTTCCCGTTCCGTACCAAATTCAAGTAAATTTTTAGAGTCCGATTCTTTCCTACTCGCAAGTCCTTATTTGATGTCCAATTGTTCAAAGTCTAAGTACTCACGGGTGCTTATTTTAAAGTCCAAATTGTCCCAGGAAAAAGGCAGCGCTCTCCGGCAACAGCTATGCGGCTTCGCTCCACGGAAATAGCAGTTGACTCACAGCACCGCGCCACTTCCCCCTCTTCACTTCGGAGCCCGTTAGTGGGTTCCTTAGCGGGTTGGGGGGGGCACTAAAGGTGCCCGCCGAGTCCCATGGTCACAGGCTTCATCCGCCTGTGATTTTTAAGTGGGTCCCCGCTTCACCGTAGTGGAGAAGACCCGTTTTCCGCGGAGCTAGTCCCTCCAGTTCAGAGGGAGTCCGCCACTGCCGGTGGCGCCACCCCGGAAGTCCCACACTGTGTTTCTCTTCTTTTAACTGTCTGTCAAAAACATTTGTCTATAGTCAATGAACTTTCCCAAAAACGTCTGTCCTGACACCCCGCTCCCAGGTTCAAGACGGTGGAAAATTACTTTTCTTACACTCTCTTCTGCAGGTTTAAGCAATCCGGAAAAAATCCCCCCTCTTCTGCTTCCGAAGGGGGTTCAGTAATTTTAGATGATGAAAGTTGATCCTTTACAAACGATTTTCTACACTCTAGTTTGCCATGTCTTTGCTTTAATCTATCTACAAGAAACGGAAGGCTGACTTCCTGTTTAGACCTTCCCGCTTCAGTGCCAAATTAAGAGGAATTTCTTAATCCAATTTTTCGTTCTACTCACAGATCGTTGTTTAAAGTCCAATTGTCCAAATTTGATCTGCTCACGGGAAGTTGTTTTTGTAGCCAAATTGTCCCAGGAAAAAGGTGGCGCAGAGCAGTGTTATCTCAAACCTTACATATACTGGGAATGCCCCCCAAAACTACACACAGACACATACACATAGACACGGAAGGAAACGAATCCTTCTTTAAATTACCGTAGCATATTTTTCATTCAGGTAATGTTATGCTATGCTGCTGAACCCACCACCCCCAGATGTTGTCAGCAAAGACAACACATGTCAGATACATATGAAATGTGCCTTTCGTTGGCAGCAAATACCAATAAGGCAAGCCCTCAGACAGGAGACTGCAAAGCCCTCCCACCTTCTTTTTCAGATAAACCAATATGACAG